TAGAGCAGCTAGGGAACATTTCCTATAAGTCTTTGGTGCATTATCGCCTAGTTAACTGTTTATTGAGATTACAGGCTCCAGCTTGAAGTTAGAACTTAAAGGAAATAGTTCACTTTTTAACATGGGTTTTGAACTGGAATAGCAGTTCCGTAGCCTGGGCTGAGACGAGCATAAATCAGGAGCTTTTACAGCCCAACGATCACCCTAGGCAAAGATATTCTATTTCTCGTCCCGAAAAAGGTGTCTTGCGTTGAGGATGTGTGCCTTGCATATATTCGCATCCAGTATGAAAAGAGCATGGGTACCGAAAATTCTTCAGAAACTAGAGAAATTATCTACGAGAACTCTAGAGAAATTCTCGTACTGATCAATAAGGACATTCAGCAGCAGCAGATCACCCAAATGCCGGTGGCCGCGATCATTTCTCTAGTTTCTGAAGAATTTTCGGGACCCATGCTCTTTTCATACTGGATCGCCTGTGCCTTACAGAAACTGAAAAGTCCTTCCTATATCAAAATATAGAAAATAATCTTTTGTTATAAATAGGTTTTATTTTCTTTGCTGATCATTTTGAACATAAAAAATCATAAATCCATTGCAAAAAAAATAATTTCGTGAAAGTGAACTATTTCCTTTAAACTCTTTTTTGATAATATTGATAAGGAAGCTCTCAGCGTCTCACAAAGTAAATCTTGTCGACCTTTTATCATTTTGTAATACCTGTCTCTGCCTGCATGAGCCTGCTGAAGTTAATGTTTGTATGCCTAAGTTATTGACAATGCGGCAATGCGCCTCAGTTATCAGTATGCTCGTGTTGGTGTGGTGAACAGAAGATTAGATCGCGTACTAGCATACCTGCTCTTGTCTGAAACCATTTTCTTGGGTATTTAGGTGGCTTAAAGTCTAGACTCTTGGTAAAGTCGATAACTATTTGATGTGATGTTTTCCTAATTGCCTTATTTTGTTCAATCATGGGATTTTACAATACCTGTGATAAGTTTGCAAGGTTTTTAATGGTATGTATAGGTTCCTATGTCCTATGTTGATGTGACAATGTTCTTTTTCAGATCTTGGTCTGTGAGCAATGAGCATAAACTGTGAAGAATGGAGTGAGGTCATGGATGAAGTATTCCTAATCCTCAGGAATACCTAATTCATGGTGAGGTTGAGCCAAGTCATAGCCAGATGATTATCAACTTGTACTTGTAGTCATGGTAATGTGGTCGATCAAAGCAAATGATGAACTGAACTTTTTAAATAGGTATCTATAACCTATCCAAAGAGAAGAACATGCTGTAAAGCTAGATTTCTCAATGTAAGCAGTCTGTTCCAAGCACTGTTCTTCTGAAAATGTTCATCCAGACATCCGACCAGCAACCTATTCAGTGATGCTGTGGCTGATGGCGGAGGCAAAGCACCAACTGTTCTTGGTGCCTGGTAAGTAGTATGGACCATTTCATTTTTATACCAAAGAAATAGATTTATTACTATTGCTAGTGTTATGCTAGACTTACCTAGGGTATTTGCCAAACCTGTCTCAACATTTCATCTAGCTACTTCTTCATTTGTCATTAGATTTTGCATTACCCTTAGAAGTGCCAGTGCTGATTTAGTCTAAGGGTCAGGCAACCCTGATGACGATGAGAGAAGCAACTGGCTGGAAAACTGTGACAATAACAGCATCACTCAACAGTCAACACAGGGATGGTTGTCAGGACAACCATAGATATAAGTATCATTGTTGTTTTGTTAGGACTAACAATAAGAACAATGATACTTATACCTCACCTCAAACTTTTTTGAAGAATCATAAAAAGATCATGCTCATGTCTGATGTTTTGTATGCTATTTGTGTGTGTCCATGTGCGATGTGCATATCTATGAGAGAAATATACCTCTGGGCTGTGCGTTCTCCTATCATGTGCCAGTGAGCGGGAAGAGCATGGGTTTGTGTACTCGTTTGTGCATCTGTTCATGTGCTTAATGTTGATATCTGTCCCCCCTGTGCTGGTGCAGGTGTGTGCACAAGTAGATGAGTGCCGTTCATCGCCGCCGTCTTCCTGGACCTTCGCTCATCGCCGTCGTCTCGGTCGGAGCCTGCAATTCGGTCGTCGCCGTCTGCCGGGGCCAGCCAGCTCCAGATTGATTCCTGCCTATCGCCGCCGTTTGCGGGGACCTGCAATGTCGCTGCCGTCGTCAGCCAGAGAAGCTGGTCACAGTCATCGAAGAGCAGTGATCTCCGCCGTTCGAAGAGCTGTGTAATATATATCATGTGTTGTCGCCTGTCAGTCCCCAGTGGAGTTCTCATGTGCTGTCCGTCGACTGGCGAGTCCCATGATATGACATCTGAGGATCACCCACCGGCCACCGTTTACCGGCGACTCTGAGGGCCGTCAGCCCCGAGTCCCTAGATATCCTCAGCTCGCACCCGGCAGCAGTCTCTGTCGCATCTGGAGTGTATTCTATTCTAAATACTTGATGCATTGCGCTGCTTCTTGTGTTAATCTGTTGGGAAACTTGGAAAGTGTTAACAACGGTATATGTGGGAAGTGGAAGCCGTGTAAAGTCGTCTGCGTATTCATTTCAACGGTGGTTAATGCGAAGTGATATTGGTCGAAACTGTTTTGTTATTCGTAAGCTTGTCATTGAGTATGACTTCAGGAATGAAATTGCGCGCCTCGCAATTTCAACGAAAAAAATGAGAGTTACGGTGTCAGCAAGACGTCAAATTATTGTCGCTGCATGACAGCGGCGGGTTATATTGCTACTCGCCCAGCGGTCCCTGAGGGCGTCGGCGGGCGCCGTCCGGCTGTGCACCCCCGAGGAGGCCCAATCAGCACATCTGACGGTCGCCCACCGGCGACTCTGAGGGCCCCACTAGCGTCTTGGAGTACCATGCCGGTCTCTAAGAACCGCTCAGGGTTCCGGAAGGCATCCCACGGGCCCCCGAAGGCACCACACAAGCTCTCACATAGTCACGCTCAGATCTGATAGGTCTCATACCGCCATCTGAGAGCCCCACGCCAGCGCTTTTCATAGCCCCACATCGGCATCTGCAAGAGCCCCATCTCGGCGCCTCTTGGGACCCCACACCGGCGACCCTTTTGGCCCCACAGCGGCACCTCTAAGGGCTCCACACCAGTGCTTCTTTGGGCCCCACACGGCACACTGGCACCTCTGATGGCCCACACCGGCCATTCTGAGGGCACTCATCAGCGCCTGAGAGTACCACGCCGGTCTTCAAGGGTTGTACAGGCTACTGAAGGCACCACGACAGCTCTTAAATCTCGCTGAGCTTTAATAGGTCCAATAATTGCCTCTGAAACTAAACGCCAGGGCTCTCATAGCCACACACCGGCACCTGTAGGGCTTTTCTATATCAGCGACTCGGAAGGCCCGCTCACCGGCACATCCGTCATCCGATGGCCGCCCACTGAGGACTCTGAGGGCCCCCGTCGGCATCCCAGAGTACCATGCCGGTCAAGGGCTCCACAGGTCTACTGAAAGCACCACACAAGCTCTTCAATAGTCTTGTTGAGCTCCATTGGGTCCCATACCGGCCCGGGCCTGAGACTCCATTTCAGCGCACTTCATTGCTCCACACCGGCACCTGTAGGGGCTTCGAACCGACGACTCTGAGGGCCGCACTCTGTCATAAAAAGCCCTGTCTCTGAGTACCCTATACCGATCTATCATAGGGCCAACACCGGCGCACCCGACGGCCACCCACCGGCGAATCTGGGGGCCCATACTGCCGTCTGCCGAGTCCCGTGATATCCGCGACTGTCACCCGTCGGTAGTCTCAGTCGCAGCTTGAATATAGTCTGTTAACCTAACCTGACCTTACCTTACTTACCTCGATTCAATTTAACCATGTGTGCCCTTTTTTCATTCCATCATACTCTTTTCGCTTTGTATTTCAATAGCCGCCCCCGCCGAGCGATCCCGCGGCGGCGTCGGCCGTCGCCGGCCGGCTGTGCACCCTCGGTGACGTCATCCCGCCACCTGCGCAGAAAAGCTGCGCACTGGGATGATTCTACCTGGTATATACTGCCTTGGGCGGGCGTATATATGGGTCTGTTCCCGTCGCTCCTCCCAAAAAAATCTCGGATGAGGTTGGATGAGCTTGGAGGAGAGCCGTTTCAGAGGAGCCACGGGAACATTTTTGCGAGGAAATCAGCTGTTTGCGGGCTGTAACGGTCGGCGATTTATGGCGCGCAAACATAGATTCAGAGATAATCATCGCTTTCTAATAAAATTACCAAAGATAAATATCGAGCATTACTATTTAAAGATATCCAATCGTCATCAATCACTAATATCATTTCCACTTCCCTCAAATCTCATTTATAAACAATTCACATTTGTATTACGTGCGCCAAATATGTCTACGCAAGAGCCTCCTCCAAAAACCCAACTTTCGTTTGGGATGAGGGAGGAGGCAAATAGTGGTGGTGAGATGTGAAATCAAGATGAGCTTGGAGGAGCTTGGAGGAGCGACGGGAACGATTTTTTGAAACGAGAGGAGGTTAGAGGAGCTTGGAGGAGGTTAGAGGAGCGACGGGAACAAACATAGGCGCGGGAGCCGGGGGGGCAGTGGGGGCAGCTTGCCCCCCCAACTCTGGGGCCGTGGGGGCGGTGCCCCCACAGCTTTGAGACGGAATATCACACTTTTTTTGCAAATGTTTTCTTTTTTTGTTGAAAAAGCCGAGGGGTGAAAAATAAGTGGCCTAAAACCGGTGAGAAAACTAGATTTGGGGGTACCCTAGGTTAATCTCTATTATGGTGTGCCCCCCCAGTCGGAAAGTAGTTCCCGCGCCCCTGGGAACAAACCCTATCTTTCCCGAGCGAAAAAAACAAACATTCCAGTTTTTTGGCGCTTTTGTTTCAATTGTGGTGATTCTGTTCGAAGGCCTATACAGATGGTGCTTGCGCAAAATTTCTAACGGAAAATCACCGACTATTTAGTGTCGACAGCTGCATATCAACTTTTTGAACACGTCTCCATCACTGCTTGTTTTTTGGCTGTCTGTGGTATTGGGCTGTGTTGCTGGGTGATTGTGATAATATTTTGATGATTAACCTTTTTATTCAGCGGTAGAGAATTCTGAAAATCCCAGGGGGTGCTACAAACCCCTATTTATCCACCCCTGTAGTTTTTATTTTAAGTTCCATCCAGTACCAGTATGAGTGTTTATGGCAATGGAAGGTAGCTGAAACATTTCATTATTGTAATTTTAATCTTTTGAGACCTGAATTTCAACATTCTCTTGAGAGCCTGAGAGCATTCATGCCAAGGTTTCTGAGTCTGTTTCATGATAAAGAGACAATATTTGTAATGGAGTCAACTTGTGGGTCAAGTCAGCAGAACTTGATAAATGAGTAGGTAGGTATATCACCTCTACACCTGTCGCCTCCTGTATTGTAGTGATGGCAGGTTCAATGCTGAGTCTCAGAATAATAGCCAGCGAGCGTATACTGTTGTTTTGTATTTATATGCCTGATCGGCCCTAATGTGTAATGTCTTGCATTTCTAAATATTGAACTGTAATGAGGTACTGTAATGAAAAGACTGCCTCAGACTGCAAGGTTCTATTTAACCAAATATGACTGCATGTCTGCTACAGAATGAAACACTGACAAACACTGACACTGACATCAGGCACTGACAAAGTGAATGCACAAGAACGATAAGGACATATACCTGTGCCCCCCTGTAGCGCGCTTCTCATTGGTCAATAGCCCGTTGCCGGGGCAACGTGCACATATGTGTGCGCGGGCTAGCGCGCTAGCCGGCCGCCGAACAGCGCTCCACATTATAGATCCCATAACTTACCCCGCGTTCGATGTCTCTCGGACGGCGAAGATTCTACGTCGTCCGGCCAATCACGGCTGACCTTGAACGCGATTTGTCGGACGACGTAGAATCTTCGCCGTCCGAGAGACATCGAACGCGGGGTTAGGTTCAAAGGGTTTATATCATATATATATATCATATATATATATATATATATATATATATATATCATATATATGATATAGCCTTGGTTCAAAGGTTGTGTGCGTGCAAGGTTGTGTGGTTCCTGAATCCTGTGTCACGTGTGCTATGCCAATGTGCCTTTTATTTATAGCCTTGGACTAGTCAAACGTCAAAATTCAGTGGTATACCTACCATTGACACTAAAAATTGACACAATGCCCAACATCTCTCGAGTCTCGACCTCATGGCTAAATTTTGAATTTAGGTTGGAGAGGCCAAAAAAACCTAGCGTTTTCATTGTAGTTAATTCAATCCGATTAGTGTCACAACATCTTATAAAACACTACTCTTCACATTTACACCAAGTTTCCTGCAATATCTTACCTTGAAACACTAGAAAAATTGATGTAAAAACGACTCCCTCAGAGCACACGAATAATTCAATCTGATTAGTGTCACAACATCTTATAGCGGGAAATGTGACCCAGACGCCCTCCAAAATCACTGGCAGATCCAGCTCCGAGTTTTGCGAGGGGCAAACCTGTCAAACCATAACAATTTATCGGTTCTTTCCATGCACTGTCTATAGGCCTAATGTTAAAATTATGCCATTTGGGAGGGGCAATTTCCCTATTTGCCCTCCCTTGGATCCGCCACTGTCCAGAATGGCAATTATATAAAAAAAATAAGATAAAAATAAGATAAAAAAATCAAAAGGATTTGTTCAAACATAAGTGCTTAATCTTATTTGTTGTCATAAAACATGCTGTTACGAAAATGAAGCATGTACCAGGCACTAGCCTGTAGACATGTTACACAGTGATCACTGAAACATTTTGTTGACTTGCCCCTACTTTTGTTTAACAGAGTCCAGTTACGATGAGTCACAGCAACCGGCGATGGAGCGTCAACATCCTGACTGAGGCCATGTTCCCGGGCATTGGTCTGGAGCCTGTGGCCAGCGGCCGGCCACCGCGGCCCGCTCTGGGCGCTGAGCTGGTGGCCAGCCTGCCCCTCCAAATGTGCCTCTACTTCAACATCCTGTACCTGCCGTGCTGGTCAGCGGTGCTGGCAGTCGTGTTCCACGCCAAGCTGGATCGGATGGACTTTCTGAACCGGTACATCTACGTGACGGTGGTGGTGGGCGCGCTACTGATGGAGGCCGCGCGGCTCTACGTCGGCTACATGGGCAGCCTGCGTGAGGACGTGCCCGACCTGGCCGGCTTCTGGCTGATCACGCTGCTGCTGGCGTGCCCGCTGCACGGCCTGCTGCTGCTGAACCGGGGCGCGCTGCAGCTGGCGCCCGAGCTGGCCGTGCTCTGGCCGCAGGCCGTGTTCGTCACTGCCGAGCTGGTGCTCGGGTACGCGGCCGCCCGCCGGCTGGCCCAGCACCAGGTCAGCAAGTTCCACGCCGCCAGCGCCGCCCGACAGCAGCAGAAGAGCGAGTGAGCCCGGCCGTCAGGGGCCAACCCAGTGATCTCATCCGTCCAGTCGGAGGTCGGCGGTCGCCCGATTCCCGCAGTCTTCGTCACTGATCTCGCCCAGCGCTGGGCCCGTCAGAAGTGCTTCATAATTACATGTAAGTGCTAGAAGGCACATAGATTATGCGCAAACTCGCATAACTCCCGCAAACATGTATCAAGTCCACTACATCCAATAAATGAAACAGCTTCTAAGTTAACTTTATAACTTTGTTGTTTAAAAAATTGATCGACACGCACCCATCATGCATTCTTACAGACACCGTACCACTTGGCTCAACTTCTGCGTTATCATGTATTCACATACGACCTCGCACAAAAATGAAAACATTCATCGTTTAAGCCGTTTAACTGAAAATCCTGGAGAAATCCAGAAAAGAGCGACATTAAATGCACCTTGTAACGTAAGCTTGTTTTTCAGACTTATTATATAGCCAGTGTTCATTCCGACGGTAGGTATTTTATTCACAGCAATACATCTATTCGCATTTATCAACTGCGGCCACATACAAATAACAATCACACAAGGGGCACCTGCATCGCTCGGCAACGAACAAAGCCGAATGTGAAAATCGATCACTAGCATCAAACAACGTCGAAGCCGCCCTCATTGCTACAACTGCTCACTGCTGGATAAGCTCAATACTGGTATACACCTTTCTAGTGAAAATACACCCAGTCGGGAGATTTGCATGAATTGAGTTCGAAGACTCAGGTATGTAACTGTTTTCACCACTCACCGCACGAAATGTCGCCAGTCACCACTGGTCCGCCGTCCGCGATTCGGCTGTTTGTAAGTTGTAGGACGTTAAAAAGATTGACCAATAGATGGCCACCAGTAGGATGAACAGCGTGGGGTAGACGATCGTCATGCTTCTCTCGAGAAACACTGCCATTCGCAGCCACTTCAGCACCGCTGGCGTGGCGATGAGGACCTCTTTGTCCGCCTGCGGCAAGAAACACGTAAGGTGTCTTCTAAATGTCCCAGTAACAATATGTACAAATTTAAAGTCACGTAGGCAACCCGTCGATACAATAGCTAATTACAAAGCTAGCTGAAGCGCCAGTAACACATGTCGTCTCGAGCCTTGAACGGGCGCATGTGAACAGATGTCTTTCAACTATTTGTGACAGACTGATCAGTGACCATATTTGCTATCCGTAGGCACGTACTCGCTGAGCCGCAACCTGAAATTACAAGTCCCGGAGGCGAGTCCCAGATGTCCCAGACGTTACATACGTTTCAGCGTTCCATAGGATTCTCACCTGGAACGGCGTGTTGCTGCCGTGGAAGCGGATGTATGCACTGGACCCGCCGCCGCCGGCCAGCGACTGGCGCTGGCCCACCGGGCTGGCGGACGAGCCACGCTCGTCCACCACCGGCGGCAGCTCGGCCTCGGGACGCTCCTCGCCGGCGATCTGCGACTCCTTCTCCACCATCGAGAGGAAGCGCAGGTCGGCGATGCAGTCCACGATGGCAGAGAACACGAATATGATGCACATGAAGAGCCAGATGTCGAGCGCTTTCACCTGGAAAACGAAAATGTTTTGACAACCATCCAAATAAGGGCACAGAACTCAAACTTATGGCAGCGTTCGCCGGATGAGATCAGGTCATAGTTCAGCGAAATCACGCATTACGCAGCATGCATATCCAGCATAGCATACAAACCGGCATACAAGCTCACCCTGGCTCACCTCGTTCACGCCCGGAGCCATCTGGCTGTTGGTGACAAAGATGGACACCAGCACCAGCAGCGTGGTGACCGAGAGCACCATCCGGCCGTAGGCAAAGTCGAGCGGCACCAGCAGCGACAGCCAGCCGATCAGCACCAGCATGGCCGACGGCAGGTAGGTCTGAACCAGGTGGAACGCCAGGTGACGCTTCATGAAAATCTGCAGCCGGATGACATACCGTTTGCTGCCGTCGGCATTCTCAATTATGTAGGAGCTGTTCACCCTCGGGATGGAAATGGTCACGCGGAAATGTTTGGTGACGATCTCCGTATGCCCCTGGAGGCTGTCGGGGTGCCACTTGAGCTCCATCTCTGACAGGGAATATTTGTAGCTCATTACGTCCAAAAAGCAAGACTGGACGTCCATTGGATAGTCGACGTAGGCCATCTCGCACTTGAGAGCAATAACGAAGAAGGCTGAGTACGCGACGCTTCCATGTTTCATGACTGTCACGCTCTCTGCCGGTTCGTGAATTGTTGGGATGACAACTCGCCTGGCCATCGGCATGTAAAGGTCAGGCACCCACAGGGTCTCTTTGAGCCTACCAGACATAGGCAGCATGTCTTTCCGATAGCCAGGCTTGTCATGCAGGATTTCGGACACGTCCCGAACCCTGCTGTCGTTCCACTCGGCCCGGAAAAAGAAGGCCACCACCATTTCTCCGGCCTGCTCGTTCACCGTCTCGATGAAGTCGGCAAAGGCCATCATGTGCACGAGCACTGGCCTCCCAGTGATGGGGTCTTGCGGCGGCCGGCGAATGTCATATCCTGGCTTCGTGAGTAGCTTCGCAGGCGATTCGTGCCCGTTTTTGGTGGAGTTCTGTGTTACATTGACTTCCTTAGCATTGTGTGGCCTATTTGTTTCGTTTGTTGGTACTGGCTCTGTCTGGTTCCCTGCCTGTCTCTCGGATAATACTACTGACTGGATGCATATAACCTGAAACTCAACGGATGCCAAGAGAAATATTGCAGCAACACTAAGCAATTTGCTGATAGGATCCATTTTGAGATTGAGGTATAAATCATAAGTGTCTAAAGTATCTCTGTCAATATTCAGAATGCACAGAATGCATAAGTCGCCACTTTTGAAGCGATATGAAAAGCACGGTGACTGAAAAGGATAAAAACAGGCGCCTCTCCTCGTGGCGATCTAGTATGGATACTTCCTAGTGTTTCTTCATAAACGACCTTTTTGACAAATATATCGCGCGTCACCCCCAATATATGAACAGGGAGTTGCCTAGAAAATGAAACGGTTTACACATGACCTGTGGCCGATCTTCATACCCCACTCTGGCTACTGCTCATCCAATTCCGCCGAAGTTCCCATAGCTGGTAGACACCGCTTTATGAAGGGCGTCTCCGCTGAGATTGACCGTACATTGATGTGGCGCGCCGGCAATAAGGCAGCTCCTAGTGAGCGGGGCCCAGATCGTTACCGACCGAGCGCGCCGATAGTGGCTCTCCCCCTTCGGCAGTGGCCTCCCTTCCGATACGGAGCTGCCTGAAATAGCCACCGGCGGGTAGGGCGCGGCCAGCAGCGGGAGGCAGGGAGTCTGCAGACTCAGGCGCCGCAGCGCTCGCACGGACAGCCGCCGAGGGAACTGCGGTGCTGTCAGATGATAGGTCATGCGGCATCGAGTGTCCACACCATTATCCCAGCGGCTGTGCCTAATGCATATCCCGAGGCGATCTGTCAAAATCAGCTCATCTATTATTCAGAACGGAGCATCGATTAACATCGGGTCGTCGACTAACCGTTACCGCAACAATCACATACTAGTTTCCGCCTCCTTATGCTTTGCGACGAATCAGCAATATCCCACGCCTGACATTTGACATCACTTACGGTTAAGACTAGGTCAAAAGTGTTCTCACACTTGTGGGATCATCGATCCACAGCACTAAAAAGGCTACAACGATCAATAAATCGGTCTTACATCTTCCGTTATGCTAACTGGTAACACATTCTGGCTTCTTGCGTCCCAGAAACTCCATTATAGCACTTACTTGCGCGAGTATCCTGCGGCCATATACTCTGGAAATAGCTTTACTATTGCCGTGTGTCTTTTTGATGACATCACAGTATCTTGATCAGTGATCACAAATGTTCCAAACGTAGAGTTGAAAGCGGTGTCCACTGTCCAGTCCGTGCGACAATTACACTGTGCCCCCTCTTTTGGGTTCGCTCCACAACCAATACAAAGTTCATCGTTGTTTCATAATGCCCGAGCTTCTCCAGCCAGAGACGATCCTGGCTCTGTAGCTGAAGAGACGACGGCGCTATCGGACGCACCATTAAGCCGAACGCACTACGAGCAGCAGCGGCAGCAGCAGCGGCAGGGCGGCGAGCTGCGGCAGTGCAGCGGCGGCGCCCGTCGCCCCGGCCCGCCCCCGCGCCGCCCACCGCTAGGTAGTGCACACGCCGTCGTTGAGGTGGCAGTACTCGGGCTGCAGCGGCTCGGCGCCGATGCCGCGCTGCACCATCCGCTCGCGGTGGTGCACCAGCCGGGTGAGTGCCGCCGCCGAGTCCGTGTCCGGCTCCGCCCAGAGCCGCTCGGCCAGCGCGGCGGCGCGCGGCCACAGCCGGCTGTCCAGCGTCTGGGCGTCCGACTGCTCCGACCACAGCGCCGCCGAGCCGCCCCGCACCAGGGACGCGTAGTCGGCGCCGGACGGCTCGAAACTCCGGGCGATGGCGCGCGGGCTGTTGTCGTACACGGTCTGCCAGCTCTTGTAGGGCGAACACCAGTTGTTTCCGACGCCGACCCAGGCCGAGAAGCCGCAGTCCAGGTACCAGGCGTCGTAGTTGGAGAGCAGCAGCGGGAAGCCCTGACGGAGGAGGTTCCCGATCTGCTGGTCGGTGCCGGTGGTCCACACCTACCGACAAGGGGGGGGGCGTGAAGTTAAGAAACCAGAGCCTCAGAAGACCTAGCCATATCACACGTACGCAGCGATTCATACGTGCGTTAGGAACATAACAAGTCCGCTGCTCTCTCACCTGGATAATATACTGTGACGGTTTCAGCGCCGAGGGTCGGACCGCCTCCTGTTTGGTGAGGTCGCTGGTCCACAGTAACAGCGGCGTGCTCCGGCCAGTCACGTTCCTCCAGAGGCCGGCGGCGCGGACCTGGTACTGAGCCCACAGCCGCATGTACTCCGAGTCGTCAGACGGGTCGCCGCCGCGGTCCTTCACGTGTTCGGCGATCTCGGGGGAGGACTTCCAGCAGTTGAAGTTGATCTGGCGATGCGTGAAAGAGAATTAGCTCAAGCTCTGTAATCCTGTTGGCTTCCTAGTCAGTAAAATCAAAAGCAACGTACGTAATGAGTCGCCAGCAGCGGGCAGAGCGAACAAGATGGGACTCACGCGGGGACCCGGGAGGGACACGGCGGCCAGAGCACCCTGGAGCCCCCTGGACCTCGACTCCTACCTCGTCGCCTCCCATGTGGAAGATATCCGGCTGGAAGAGGGCGTTGAAGTCCTTGTAGATCTTCCCCAGCACGGTGTACATGTTTTCGTTGACAATGTTCATCTGGCCACAGGGCGGCTCCACGCAGTACGACTGCCACGGCTCCTGGGGAGTGGGGACGGAGGCGAACCACACGGTCCGTGACACAGCACCAATGTCCAATGGCATACAAACAGGGGCTCAGGGGGCTAGTAACATAAAATGGCATCATTGTTAAACGTCGTGTTTTACAACTAGTTACTGCTCTAATTAGCATGTGTATCAGAGCTTTGTAATTCCTTGTGTTCATGTAGTCGAAAAATAAATAAGTTAAGGTAAAAAGAAAATCTTAGATCAGTTCAATCCCACATTAATGAAGCAGCCTAGTCTCCCTTCGTGGCTTAGACAGCTAGCAGCAGGTATCCCATTCATGCACTGTCGACTGACTCCACCGACGCAGACGGCCAGCCTGCCGAGTCCGGCGCTCTCGCCCCACTACCCCTCCCCTCACTAACCTCTCCGACGCAGACGGCCAGCCTGCCCAGTCCGGCGTCCTCGCCCCACTGCCAGCCGTAGCCGACGTGGGCCGGCGCGTCCAGCTCGGGCAGCAGTCGGACGCCGCGCTGCCGGCCGTACCGGACCAGCTCGGCCACCTCCCGGGCCGTGTACACCTTCTGCGGCGAGTAGGCGCCGTACTGCACCAGACGCGGCTCGCTGGACACCTCGATCGGGAAACTGTGCGTGTCCGTCACGTGCCAGTGGAGCGTGTTCAGCTTGTTCATGGCCATGGCGTCGATGGTGCGCCGCAGGGCAGAGAGAGGGATGAAGCTGCGCGATGTGTCGATGGTTAGGGCCCGGATCGGGTATACCGGCGCGTCACTGAGCGTCGCCGAGCCCAGGATCTGGGGACAGACAGACAGACAGCGACAGTCAGTGTCATATGGTCGGAGAATGGCGCACTACACAGTACAACCGGGACTGACGATAGATTATACTTATAGCGTCACTAGAATATCAGACTGATGGATTACATATGCACATGCTCGAATATAACTATAGATACTCAGACATACCATTATCGCATGCGTACTATCGCTACAGCGCAATGCTAATGAGTAATGACCCACGGGTAACGGTACACTAACAAGTAACAACAATCAGCAGTGCAGGACTGTCCAGGATGGGGCATTTAGTCCTCGATCGGGCGCCACTTGCCTGCAGACAGGCGTTCTCCTCGTCATACTCGATGAGCTGCGACACCGTCTCCAGTCCGTGGCGCGCGCCGAAGAAGGTGGTGGCGTACAGCAGGACGCTGACCTCGCCGCCGGCCGTGTGGTTGACCAGCAGCTGGTGGTACTCGCTCGTCTCCAGCGTCAGCGCGGTGCCGGCCGACTCCACGGCCACAGTCACCTTCACGGCCTGCTCGGCCACGGCCGGCTCACAGGCGCCGTCCGGCCGGCAGCCGGCCCGCCGCCCGCCCAGACCCGACGGCTGCAGCGCCCGCAGGTTGTCCAGGAATATCTCAGTGGCCTTCTGCAGCATCGGCTTCACCGGGTCGGGCGCCACCAGCTGGAACTGGATGTTGTCGATAAGGAACGGCACCGTCTCGGAGCCGAACGCGGCCGGCCCGGTCGGACGCGGCCACACCACCGACAGCTCGCCGCAGGTCAACTTGCACGTGCCGAGCTGCATGCCGTCGGTGACACCGGCGGCTGGGCGGCGCACGCAGCTCCCCGACTCACAGCGCCACGTCCACACGGACGGCTCGGCGCCCGCAGCCGCCAGCGCACAGCAGAGCAGCAGCAGCCGCATCGTGAGGCGCTGCGGTCTGCAGCGGACTGTGGGAGCGCCGTTAGATCCCCTGTGGGCAGGAACAAACTCAATGACTCACTGACGCCCGCGTGGCCGCCACCTTACCACACTTGTACACTGCCGCGTTTGCACACTGGTGTTATCTGTTGATAAGCCCGCGTTCCGCAGAGCCTTCAGCCGGGAGGAGGGGGCGGTTTCTGAAACGAAGAGGCTAAACACAAGTTGAAGTGCAAACACACTTCGTTATTACGCTCAGTGTAGGCTTCTACTAAATAGGTACCAAATAACCTTTCCCAGCCTAATCCTATCCTCGATCCCCGAATATTGCACAATATGGAGTCGCTGTTGCGCAGTTTCGCTGCCGTACACCAGCCATCTGGCGACCACCCGGCACCCACCGCAACGCGCACTGCCGGCCGCCGCCGCGACCAGCTGAGGCCCTCCAGTCAGCCAAAGACGACGGCACGGCGGCGTCGGCTGGCACCGGCACTCTGCCAGCGCCGTGTCGCAGGATAATCGACCCAGCGTGACCCACCGCGCCGAGTCTCAGTCTCGCCACCGACACGACACCGACAAAACTCAACTCAACAAACAACACGACACAGAAGACGGCGGCCAGCGGGCGCATTTTTTTTCTACCCGATCTTGTCCACAGATACCTACCTACCTAAGTAAAGTCCACAGATAGGTAAGTAAAGCGATCCCCGAACTACTTCTTTCTTCCAGCAGGGAAAATGAATAGTTATCTACCACAAATGCATATTAGGTGAGCATTCATAAAAACTCAGACAATTTTTTTTCGAAACTCACCATAAGGGGCACCAGAGAAACGAAGAAAAAATAAACAAAAAGACAGAAGCCAAATACTGGCGCTGTTGTGACAGCTCTTTTGTTTTATACAGGGCAAATCAATAATGTGGAAGGCGCGGGCAAATACAGGGTATAAGGTTTTATCGTTGTATATTTGCTCTTTCAATTGATGGATTTTTGCTTCTTCAATATTGATTTTTCCCTTTCAAAAGAAACTTGATTTGAGGTAACAATATCTATCAAAAATTAATATCAGTACAATAAGCAGACGGTCAATAATTGATCAAACTTCGGACGATTGCTATGGCAACTCCATTTCATAGCTGCTGATTAGGCTTTTGAGCAGTCGCTTTGGCAGTCACTGGCCTTTCCCTGTATCAGTATCAAAGGACCGCACGAATTGGAATTGAAGAAAAGTCAAAGCACCTCGAAGTTCGAACCAACGTGTAAATTTGGCTAGGTAGCTACCGTGGATAAATGGTTTCATTGCCATTGTCAGGCTGACCATAAGCTAGCTCTTCTAAGCTAGCTTTTCGAGGTAGTACTGCAAAAACGACTTGAGAATTATTTGTTGACACAGGACAACCAGTTTGGCTTTAAAAAGAACCTTGGTACAGACCAATGCATTTACACTTTGAAAGAGATAGTTGAAAAGTATAAGTCAATGAATAGCATTGTCCATCTGTGTTTTCTTGATGCAAGCAAGGCGTTTGACCGTGTTAATCATAAAATTCTCTTTCAGAGGCTTTCAGAGAGAGGTGTTCCTTATGTGTACCTAAGATTGCTTGCGTTCTGGTACCAAGAGCAAGAAATGGTCATTAAATGGGGATCCACTTTTTCAGAAAAGTTTAAAGTGTCCAATGGTGTCCGGCAGGGAGGTATCTTGTCACCTCCCCTTTTCAACGTGTTTATAGATGAGTTGTCTAGCAGATTAAATGAAATGGGCATAGGTTGTCTTATAGGTCGGAAATTGGTCAATCACTTGATGTATGCTGATGATGTGGTGCTTGTCTCTCCATCAAGTGCAGGGATGCAAAAACTGTTGAATGTTTGCCATGAATTTGGTATAGCAAATGATGTTGTTTATAATAGTTCAAAAAGTGTTGCAATGTCATGTAGATCGAAAGGGATGAGGAATGTCAAAATACCTGATTTTATGTTAGGGCCCATGCCGTTAGTATGTGTTGATAAAGTTAAATATCTTGGGCATATCATAGAGGAAGACATGACTGATGATCTAGATATTGCCAATCAGAACAAAGGTTTATTTGTCAGAGGGAATATGATCATAAGGATGTTTCACATGTGTACTGTAGATGTCAAACTGAAACTATTTGAGACTTACTGTTCATCGATGTACTGTGCACACCTGTGGTGGAACTATAGGAAGGCAACTATGAATCGACTCATTGTGAGCTATCACAACCTTCTTAAACGACTTATCAGGTTATCTAAATTTGAGAGTACGAGTATGACATGTGCATATTTTAGAGTGCTGAATTGTGAAAGCGTGTTCAGGAAACTTATTTATAAGTTTCTGAGGAGGCTTGAAGAGAGCCCCAATAGCATCATTGAATCAATCAATTCAGGGGATCTCCGTTTCAGATCAAAACTGAGACGTTTTTGGCTCAGTAAGCTCCATTGTCATGCTGTGCTACATTGAATGTGCATCGACTGGGAGTGTGCCCTAATCGATGTTTGTTGTTGTTCATCCATCATCCATCTGGTACATCCATCATCAACTCATAGCAATGGACTGTTAGTCTGAAATACAAATCTATCTATCTATCTATCTATCTATCTATCTAGCTCAAGCTAGGTCTATAAAGCCTTGAGCTAGGCGACCACATTGAGCTAGGCTGTTCCATAGCTCAGTCGGGTCGAGCGTTGGACTCCCAGTCGTAAGAGACCGGGCTCGAGTCGCTCAGGCCCTCGATATTTCAGACTCTTGACGGGGGTGGTCTGCGCTTGGTGGGAACATCCTCAGCCAATTCAGCAAGCTGAATTGGCAAGCTGAACAGCAAGCTGAATTGAAGTCAGTTGAGTGGGACAGGCGGTGTCTGTCTTTGGACACATTAAACTTTAAACTTTAAACTTTAAACTTAAACTTACATTAAACTTTGGCATCTTAATTCTCCCCTTACCCATTATTGCACAATTCAAATTGGATGGTACTGTTGGAGGTCTACGCATAATGTAACAACCAAGCTCTGCTTAGCGTGTGCTCTGGCTCTGTCCTGTCAGTCCTTTCATCCAGACATTTGAACTAAGTTCATAAAAAACTATAATTATTTATCTCTGATCAGTTTACCAAAGTAGGTGTTGAAAGTATTAGCAACCGAGTCCAGCACTCATGGGGCTGGATCCAGCTGTTCCTGCTTCCTATGCTGATATTCATGCTCAATTGCTCATGCCAGGCAAGAGTGAACGAATGCATTGCTTATCGTTCTATAAGAAACATTGTTGAAAGACAGTTCACTACTCATAATATAACAGCTTTTCAAATTAAGAATAGAACAATGAATAGTTATACATTCAAATTTCAATAAAGCAATTCTTAAAGTATTTTCATGTAAAGCTTGGGCATCATCAGACTACAAAAATCACACTTTTGTCTTTTTACCAGACCACAGGTGCAATGGTTCGCCTTGTGATCAAGCGAGGTGATGATGAGCAATTTCTCTATGAAACCAGCACATCAGAAAAACTTGATGATACAATATCTAATATCTGCACCATATTCAATGGAAGACTTAAAGTACTGAGGCTAGTGTCAGGTAAGAACTGGGTTCCTTTGCCTTGTTTATGGTGCAAACATTGCCTAATATGTGGAGGGCTAATCAACAAAATGTTGATCTACAATATGGGCTTCATTTGCAACATGAATTTATATTGCAAAAAAAAAGAATTGATCAAAATAATGTGATTTTGAATACTTGAATTTGAGTGATTTTTACGTGCTTCAAACATGTGCTAAGCCAGCAGTTATGGAAGTAAGCTCAGATATCCGATGCAGGTGTTGCAATTATTTATGAACTGTGTTGATCTTCCATGACCTATATTGTGATGGTGTGGTTCAGCTGTCGGTGCACAGCTCTCAGAGCTACCGTAATATGATGTCGTGTCGGCTGGCTGTGCATAGTTCACGGAGTTTTCATTATATAACGGTGTGTGTCGGCTGTTTGTGCAGAGTTCTCGGAACTGGCGCAGCATGGCATTGCGCTGCCGCCAGAGATGGTTGGCCTCACAGAGGATCAAGTGACCGACCTGAAGCTGCAGGACTCGCAGGCCGATATCGCCGTGCCCTCGGGCGGCTTCCAGATGCACGCCGACCCGCTCGGGCGGCGGAACGGCCGCGCGCCCAAGGACAATATGGTCCAGGTGCTCACCAAGGCCAGGGACGAGGCCGCCGCCATCGTGGCCAAGGTAGGCGCTACCTACCGCACCACAGGCCACAGGGTTGGTAACAGTATGTACTGCGAATGTTCTGTGGGTGTTGGATCTCGCTGTCGGTATTGAGGTGTTACCTGTCCGACGTCCGTGTACCTGGTTGTTCCGTGTTACAATGCCTGGTCTGCCGGCGTTCCTGTACTGTCCGTAACTTCTCACCTGTGTCACCAGGACCAGGCGCGCGCCGGCGTGCCGCTGACGGAGCGGGTGGTGGCCGAGGCGCTCTCCATCCTGCGCGGCGCCACCATGATCGTGTACCCGATGGGCCTGCCGCCCTACGACCCGGTCCGCATGGAGCTGGAGAACCGGGAGGACCTCAGCGGCACGCAGGCCTCACTGCAGGTACGTATCGTGACAGCAATAGCTACCGAGACCTCGGCACCCACTGGGAGCTCAGTGGCACGCAGATACAAAGGGAGACAACGCCGTTCCATCGCATCCTCAGGATACCGAAATCCTTCTCCTGCACGCCGCAACCCCCTCCGGGCTGGACAGGCACCTTTATCTCATGCGGGCTGCTCCCTTGGGGTGGCACCGCTGCTCCTGAGGGAGCACACCCATAGCGGGGTGCAGAGAGTGCTTAGGGGCTGGTCGGCCTGTCCATTCGGACGGGCTCGGCCCCGGTGACTCTCTAGGGTGCCCGCCCAGGCCAATGTCTCCCCCTAATTCCTATCATCGTTCCGGCCCTGAAATGGTCTTGTTATACCGAAAGGGCCTAACCCATCAAAACAAAAGATGCACTGCTTTTTCAAGGGACACTCACTGAGGCTCGGGACCTCAGCAGTACTTACATATTAATAGGGGATCATAATGACTCATTGGCCGCCGGATCTCGCCAGGTGATGGATCCAGGTCTCGCGCAGCTCTGGTTCTCTGGGAAAGAAATGCTTAGAGGCAAGACCCTGGCAGACTACATCGGGAAAAATGAGAAAACCAAATTAGTCGTCAAACTGCAGAAGAAAGGTATGTATTAACCGTTTCGGAGCAAAAGTTTGGGCTAATAAAATAAGAATTTAAGTATCCTCCCTGATTACCGGGATTGTTACGCTCACTTTTTTACACAGTCAACAGGCATTAGGGTGTGATGAAATACTGGGGTGCAACCACTCTGTGACCTGTGTCCGTAGGCGTCTATGCTCGTAGGCCAAGGCGCGCCGGGCCGTGAGCCGCTGATGGTTACTCTGTGACCATCCTGTGTATATCTGTCACCGTGTCTCTGCCTGTAGGCCAGGGCGCGCCGGGCCGTGAGCCGCTGATGACTGAGGAGGAGCAGAAGAAACTGATGGCCGCCGAGTTCCGACGTCAGGAGGAGCTCAAGGTCAGTCCCCTGGCCGGGGCCAGTCCCTGGGGTCAGCCTTTGGGATAGACCCTGGTGGGGGCCTCGGGGTACATGTCAGGGCCTCCCAGCTCCCTGCCTTCAGCCTCAGAATTCACTGCGCACGGGCGGACCTTTCCCCGTGTCCGTTCCACCCCACTCCCCCACTCCCCCACTCCCCGGGAATGGCCAGGCACGGCCGGAGCTCTGTTTCAGGTTACACAGCCTCCCGTCTTCCCGTCACCTCCCCTGTGTGAGGGAGGGGAAGCGGTGCGGAGGCCAGTGTGGTGCTGAGACACTGCCCACCCGGCCATTGAGGCGGTGTACTAGTGAGACCAGCGAGAGTCGCCGGGAGGCCTGTCAACCCATCAGACCCCACCGACGCCCGGCTGGACAGCACTGCGCTCGACAGACGGCCCATGCACGGTGAGTTTAGCATCGAACTTGTCAGTAAACCGTACTTTAGTGCTATCCGTGTCGGTTAAAGCACCGAACCTCACGCTGCATGAGAGACGATATACGAAAAGTGTAGTCCACAGCCAACATAGATAGTCGCTCCGTTTATTGATAATGACTTATTGCATTCAGACAAAATATGAAAAAGTACACACCACGCTTACATATGTAAGCAAAATGTTAAAGATGTATACCCACGTTTTCCCATAGCGACCCTCTAAGCGCGATCGTTGGAAGGGTGAAATAATGCTCGGGCTGTGCGTAAACGGGATAACGAGGCACCGTGCGTACTACGCGCTAGTATCACAGTCGAAAACGTGGCGCGCACGCGATATTGCCGGATGATTGAGAACGGCTGGTGGCAGCGCTCCGAGAGCGCTGCTAATATCAGTACGGTGCGTAGGCTGTCTGCGCTGCAGCGGGCAGCTCTGAGCACTGCTCGACTAGCCATTGCAGCGATGGGACGGCGGGCGGCGAGCTGAGCGGACTGCGGCGAGACGCCGTAATACTGTGCGCTGCGGCGGCAGGGCAGCAGCTGCCTGCCGCTCAGACTTAACCGCGGCAAACTATGCGGTCGGCGTGGACTGCAAGGGCGACAGAGATAGTCACTGCCGGTAGCGAGCTGTGCGCACCCCACCTGCTCTGTACCCCAATCCTGCGGCGCAGACCAAGACCTGACCCCAAGACCTGACCCTACCCTATCCGCGAGCGACCCTGGTCAGTCTGGCATGGCGAAACCAATCTAGCGCTACAGCGCAACTAAACTAACCGCGCAGAGTCGTTCACGCGGCGGCCGACGGAGGCACCACTGTCGCTTTGTACTGCCGATCGCCGCCGCTCACTCAGACTGGCCACCAAGAAGGAAAGGGGGCAGAACGAGCGCCGACGCGCCAACTAAGGCACCAGATGGGACGTCAGGCAACGGGCTGAAAGCTGCAGATGAGGGACGGCTCGGCGACTGGAGGCGGCCGACTGCTCCCGGCTGCTGTGAGACTCAGTCCTGGTGACCGCAGTCAGGCTACTGCTTCTCTGCCACGCTGGACGCCATGGAGACCGTGAGCTCGGGCGGTACCATGCTGGGCCTGCGGGGAACGGACAGACGTCAGTCGACGGCGCAGAGTTGCCAGTCAGCATACCATCGCGACGTGTCTACCGAAAGAGCAATGGTTCACCAATTCACAAAAGCAACATATTTCTTCTTCTGACCTGGCCTAGGATGGCCAGACATCGACAAAATAAGATAATATCAGGATTAGTGAATCAAACTGAACGTGATTTGGCAACCCCATTCGCGTATGGCGGGATGGCTAAACACTAAACAGCATGTGCTTGCGAAGGTTAGCCACACTGTACGGCGTTCATGCTCTATCCGTTAGCAATGCCTACGGTAATTTGTATGACATATACACTGTGCCCACTCACCGGTCCGTCTCGCCGGGGATGTGGAGCTGCGGGCACGAGCGGCGGCACCAGCCGCAGTAGCAGTAGCACAAGAAGCCGACCGTCAGCAGTATGGCGCCGGCCGGCACCGCACCCGCCAGCACCAGCGTCATCAGCTCGCGGCTGTAGTCGTAGCTGAAGATGACCATGTCGGGCATCTCTCGGCTGGGGAAGCAGGGCACCGGGAACGGCCCGTCGGCCAGCCGGCGCTGCAGCCGCTCCAGAGGAGTCAGCTTGGTGGGCGGCTGGGCGGCATTCCCCGGCCCGTCGGTGGCACCCCCGGGCCCGTCGGCGGCCTCCAGCAGCTGGCGCCAGAATACTGTGCAGTTGACGCGCGGCGGGTAGCCGCAGCTCTGGATGTTGATTTTGAGCGGCACCTGGCTGAGTTGCCAGACCGACTGGTCGTAGGCGGCCGGCGCGCGGTCGAACTGCTCGTACGGCACGTGCGACACGTCGACCAGCAGCTGGACGCAGGTGACCAGCGGCGCCGTGCAGCCCTCGCTGCACGACGTCCAGTTGCAGGAGGAGAGCCGCTCGCCAATGCGCAGCGCCGCCAGCCGACAGGTGGCCGGCTGCTCCGGAAAGCCGGCCGACAGCGTCGAGATGGCCGGGTCGAACACGAACGGCACCAGAAAGAGCAGCGCGCAAAACGAGACGATGGCCACCACGCTGGCCAGCAGCGTGACGTAGTAGCGCAGCCGCGACAGCGGGTGCGGCTTCTTCTTAGGCATCTTGGTAGGAAGCAGTGGACAGGCGGACTACATTAGCGGGAAGGGTAAAAGCGGAGAGAGAACGAGTGCAGGCGGCCTACTGCTGGGCGGCGTCGGGCAGATCGGCAGAGCGACAGCTGAGCGGGGGCGGCGGCGGCGACTAGGCGTCCCGGCCGCTGAGCAGGCAGTCCGACTCGCCCCCCGCACTGGTCCTCCAGTACGGTCGCCGCGCGCTCTGTCAAAGGGCGTCCAGCTGCGGCTTCCCTGCAACGGACGGACGGGGCGGCGCGTCAGACAGCGGACGGAGACGGGTCAGAGGTGACCGGTCAGAGGCAGTGACCGGTGATTGGTTAGTGACGGCACAGTTGAACTGGGAGAAAGTAATCGGTAGGGGAGCCAAAAGGTAGCCACACCAAACTGATCTGGTGGTAACCTTTGTGTGAGAACAATAAGAAAACACCAAAACGGCGAGAGATAATGTCGTTCCTCTCATCCGTCAGTTGACCATGCTAATTGAAAAAGGGTGTGAACACATTTATCAGCCAACATGCAGTTGAATATCACTCCGTTATGCCTTGTGAGGCGTGAGATGAATGCCGTGAGGGCGAGCGTTTACCATCCACCATGATTAGCAGTCACCACAGCACACGGGCGGATTGAGCGGCACGGATTGGTCAGCACTGGGTTGGGCGGCTGCGGCCCATAGTGGTCGGAGGAACCGACTGCGTCCGGTGACGGCAGTCGGTCCGACGGCTCGGGGGCGGGGTCGTCCGTCACAGAAGCAGTGCCAAGTGGCAGCCACTCTCAGGAGTCGCCAGGGGCCGGCGCCATGCTGTGAGAGTTGAGACCAAACGGGCCACGGCCGGCGGCCGAGCCGTGGCGCACACGGTCAGGTTGGCGGGCGTCGGACGGCGGGGCCAGGGCAGACGAACGCGCACTTGTTCAGCTCGGGGCTGTTGAGCTCAAGATTCTTACAGATAGTTGAGCCTTTCTTTTGGATCGTTCAAAAGTAAAATTTCAATAAGGCACTATGTATCGGGACTGTTAAGCCAAAAGCTCAAATAAGGGTCGGGACGCTTTAAATAGTTCAGCATCGATAGCCGATAGGAGCTCGAATCAGGGGCAAATTCTTCAATATAGCTGAAATTTAGTACCTACCTATGATTTTGGGCAAGATGAAAGGTGCTTAATCTTGCAGTTGGTCAGTTCTATCTGGAGAACATTCCTACATGTTACGCGTCCGCTCATTTATAGGCGAACGCTATACGCAATGGCAATTGCAACGTACTGTTGTATTTTAGATAGCCTAGTCGTTGCCAAAGCAATTGAATAATCTTCAAAGCTGTAGCAAAGTCCGGAAACTAAAATATGGATACGCAAATGCATAGGGACATGCATATGAAAGGCCGTGCCGGTTAAGGACCCTCTGCCCATCCGTCCGACCCCTCCGACCTGACCGGGGGTAGCCCCGTGCCGCCGGGCGGGCCGTGCGAGTGCAAGGCGGACGTCTCGAGCCGTGCTGGCGAAACCCGGAGGGTACTGTACTTGTCACGGCGCGCTCTGCTTGGCCGGCTGTTTACCTCCGTCGCCCTCTTGCTTGTGACACGGCTTACAGAAAAACAGTCCGAACTCGTTGACGCCGACCGTCTTTCCGCAGAGGACGAGGCAGCAGCAGGAGAGTATGAGCAGTGCGCTGGGCACCACGGTGGCCAGCACCATCTGGAACACGGTCTTGCTGCGGTTGTAGTCGGTCACCACGTAGCTGGTCGACTCGGGCGTCACGTAGCACGGGTAGACGGCCGGGTGCATGCCGTCGTTGCCGTCGCGGGACTTTTCGTCCAGCCAGGCGGTGCACTCCTTCTGCAGCGTGTTGACGCACCCCTGAATGTTGATCATCACCTTGGTGCCGTTCGAGATGAGCACCGAGCGCTCGCTGGGCAGCGCCGTGTGCGTCACGTCCAGCGGCTCGGCGTTCTCGTCCAGCAGCGCCAGGATCTCTGTGTAGTTGGTGATGTCGCTGAAGTGGTCGGGGTTGTCGAGCGTGCCGTTCAGACAGTCCTCGCCGATCAGCTCGGTGCCCGACTCGTTCTCTTCCATCCGCGAGCAGTACAGCGAGAGCGGCTTGTCCTCGTCGTTCCAGACGACAGTGCCGTTCACCTCGGCCTGCTCACAGGTGCCCCAGCGGAACAGGTTCGGCGTCACGATGCCGACGTTGCCCATCTTGAGCGAGGTGCAGCGGTCGGTGCAGACGGGGTCCTCGTACTTTTTGCAGTTGCCGTTGATGCACTCGTAGATGCCGTTCAGGTCGTTGCACGTGTACAGCGAGCACGCCATGATGCCCTGCGGCGTGATGGCCGACGAGGAGCTGTTCTTGCCGACGCACTCCTTGATGGCGGTGATGTTGCGGCACAGAGAGGTCATGTTGGTGCGCAGGCCCTCCAGCTTCTTCTCCATCCTGGTAGGCCGGCAGTCCATGATGCGGTTCAGCCGGTCGCACTGGCCGCGCTTATCGTCCTTTTTGTCCTTCTCGGAGCAGACGAAGCTCTGCGTCTCGTTGAACTTTTGCGCCGAGCAGAAGCGGCTCTGCATGCCGCTGCACTGGCTGAAGCGCACGGTGGTGCCCTTATGGCGCACCTTGGCGTACACGATGGGGCAATTGGTACCGCCCTTGGACATGCACCACTCGCCGCAGGAGGGCAGCTCGCAGTCGCCGTCCTCGACGCGCAGCGTGGTGCACACCACCGACGGCTCCACGAACTGGGCATCCAGCGTCTGCTTGGCTGGCGACACGACGATCACACTGAGGTAGAGCAGCGCCACGCCCGAGATGATGGACATCAGCTGGCACAGGCAGATGCAGTTGCACAGCCGCTTCTCGATGCCGTTCTGCTCTAGGCCGCCGGTCGGCTTCGGCGGCTCCTTTTTCTTCCCCATGGCTGGCGGCGGTGCGGCGCTGGCCGGGCGGTCACTCGGTCACCACTGCAGGGCGGGCCGCCGCCGCCGCGGGCCCGCTGCATTGATCCGGCTACTGCTGTGGTGTGTGCCGTTGTCATGGCGACGGTGGCGCCGCGACCGGCGGTGGCCGACGCCCGAACTATCGACCGACCCTGATCCTCAGATTCCATTGTGTCCACCGACGATCTACGTTTGAGGTGTGCGCCAGCACCGCCCCGCTTGTATGAACTTGGAGTTTAGAATGAACGACGTTGGAATGAACCAAACCAGAGCAATGGTAAAGATGACCTAAGTCCTAATTTATCGAATGGATTTTTACTTGAGGTGGTCCATGAACCCGCGAATCTTGCCACAAATGGTCAGAACCGATCTTAACCCTCGTCCATGTAGGGGGGGGGGGGGTGCAACCCCCCTGATGTTTTTCTTAGCTACACGTCGAACCGTTTCAGATAGCCTGCTCAAATTTTCAGTACCATCTGGGGCATCCTTTGCGTAACTTTTGGTATTTTTTTGTCAAGTTCATGTCAGGTCACGGAGTTATGACGTCATAAAGGGAACAACCTCCGGCCAGATTTACGCTAAATTGGAGATTGCTTCACATTGGTATAAATGCCGACTGACCTGACACACTGATGGATTGTTTTAGAATCACAACTGGCTGATTTGACATTGGCACAATGTCCGTTGACATTTTGAAGGTTACTAAAGGTCAAGGTAAGGTCAGTGACCTCGGTTGACCTGTAATGACTTCTTGCACTTGTATGCCTTTTCGGGGTATTTTGATGTCCTGAATTCGAATTTGCTATCCATTTCAGGCATCGTCGGTTGTTTCTTGTAGTTCATTTTGGGTCAGGGTCAGGTCAGTGACGTCACACGCCTGACGTGACCCAATGCACAAATGACCTTGCAGACTTCCGATGCTCCCAACGCATCATTTTTAGAGTTATGACATCGGAATACACACCAAACGATAGAGAATTGATCAACGATCACGATAGTGAACGTTTCAAGTCGATATCTCTTACCGTTTTGCCGCAATCGGCGCGGAAATATGAAAAAGTTAGATTTTTCCGAAAATTTGACCTTTGACCGGTCATAAGTAGGTCAAATGTTGACCTAGGACCAAAAATATACCACCAATCGCGAGATCTCGTTGAGAGCAATCCGTTGGTCTTTTCCGCTAAGCTCTACGACGCTCCGTTTTCAAACGCCAGGGGGGGGTCGCACCAACCCCCCCCCCCCCTGCATGGGCGAAGGTGGCAAAACACCGTTTACGGGCGAGGGTTAACGCGAATGGGACCCAATATCACTTTAACTGCCCTTGCCTTCCTCAGGACAAGCCCATCCACATCCTCCCTCATGCTTCCCTTTCCGGGCTGGCGGTCGCTCACCACCAGACAACCGGTGTCGAGGGCCAGTCTCCAGCGGACTATACCCACTCCGCTCGGGGTGACCTTTTGAGCGCCTGTCTCATTGAGACATCCCCGTCCCGCCGGGACGGTATCTGCTGCTACAGGCGCACCACGTCGGTGGTCTGCACAGTCCATTGTGCGGACTCTCTCTCTCTCTCTCTCTCTCTCTCTCTCTCTCTCTCTCTCTCTCTCTCTCTCTCTCTCTCGCTCTCTCTCTCTCTCTCTCTCTCTCTCTCTCTCTCTCTCTCTCTCTCGCCTCATTAACTCACTTACTCACTCTTTCTTCACTCTTACTCTTACTTTCAATTTCACCCTCACGCAATAAGCATCGAAGGGTCGGGTGCATCCCACTTTTCTGCATCAGTGCATCATTCCCTTCCCTTTCTGATGGCAAGTGGTCTGATAAAAATGATATTCTTTCGGACAGCGAGGGTAAAGCGTCGAATCCGAAGCATTTAGCCAAAAACGAGGACAGTTTAATCCCAGGCTCCGCCTGTCACCACCCCGGGCTCCGCCTGCCACCACGTATACGACACAGTACACACCTCTTGATGTTTTCAATACATTCGAGCTGGCTTAGTCATGAAAGGTCGCTTGGCCCTTGTTGCTATGCTCCCCGAGAGCTGAAGTGGAGGAGAGGATCAGTTAGAACCATCCTTTTGCTGATAAAACCATCACATCGCCCATATGTTCGATGGAGATAGAGAGTTGACAAAACGTATTGTTTGGTCGGTTGATCCCCTAGCTGTACCTCTCGCTCGAGGGAGGGATAGACGTCTATCGATTACGAACGGAGTACGAGGTGTGTGTGTGGGGGGGGGGGCGGAGGACAGAAGAGAGATATGACTCGGTGGCGGATCTTATGGCTGGATTGGCTGCCGGTACCAGAACAATGTCTTGCAAGAGTGGTACGCGGTCCGTGCAGCGTTAATGTCCGCGTGTTCCCCACAGGGGCGTGTTATGCCCATTCGCCATTTGTAACCGATTTGTGACCGATTTCAAGTCGCTTTTCGCAATGATAGGCATCTTCAATAACTCGGACAGGAACTGTCCCAATCAACAGATTCTACCGAATCGAACATCCGTATGGGAGTTGGTGCTCGGATACGATTAATGTGGGTTACGTGTCTGAGATCCGTCAAATGAGTAATGGCTGATTGAAGCGACTGACCTTGTCAACTTCGGACACGCGGTTGATGTAAAATGGGTTCGAATCAGGAAAACGTCGAGTTATTTGACGAGGGAATCATTTAACGGCTGTAAATCACGGACACTCATTGTGGCTCGATCAAGAAACGACTAAATCGGGAAATAAATCGACCTTAAGACCCAGAGGATATGTCGGGGACGCGGCTATCCACCAACCGAACAAATCTTGCGAGATCGGGCGTAAATTTAATAAAACCTAGGTAAAAAACAAACAAACAAACAAATGGATAATATTTCTTGCGCTTGTCATCTCCCTTGTCACCGGTTTTCTTGCATATCACTTTCCAATCCTGACACCATCCTGACATTCGGCGATTCCGGACAGCCTGCCTTTTTTCCCCTGAAGCTGTGTAACATGCTCACGAAAGCATCATACGTGGAGCAGACGTCTTCCCCATGGCAAGTGGTCGGTCTTCTGTCTGCGTTCCGGATTTCCAGAAGGACCGTCTTGAGATTTCCAAAAGATACCTTTTCGAGAGGTGCTGGTGAGGAATCGCACGGCCGGCTCCCCCGCTTCGTTCGTCGTTGACGTCAAATGAATGGACCTCGTAGTTCGTACATAGCCGTGCCGGTGCGTCCGTGACCGATAACTCAACCTTCTCACTTCTCAGGCCCTGGGGGGGGGGGGGGCAAGTTTTTTTTTCGCGATAGCTCCGAACACTCTACTGAACATGTCGGTAGAGAGCTGAAACTTGGCGTACCTGATCTTTGCTTCAAGCCGGATCTTGTGACACCAACTGCATTTTCAGGTCAGGTCGGGTCACTGACCTATGCCGTCATAAGTGAACCTCTGCACGGTCCTCAGATGTCGTAACTTCGCAACGCCCTCAGTGCCAGAGGCACTTTCACAGAGAGATGAAGCTTTAGGACGTAGTAACTAGTATCCTCTAGAAGTTTCAAAACTTGTATATCTCGGATTTTTCCTAAAGGTCACATGAGGTCAGGTCGGTCACGTTATCTCACCACTACCTACTAGTCAATGGGGAAAATGAAAATTGCTATTTTGGCACCGGAAACGATCTCAAACTATCCCAAGCACACGGAATAGTGATTTCATGCACTCCTTGCAAGATTTGATGCTTCTTTTTTTGCATGGTTGACCTTGCGTGACGTCATTTATGACGTTTCTAGGGTCATAAGAGTTTTTCGCCATGAACTCCTGATCAAATCAAGCCAGCGAGTCTGGAAAGCCACCAATGGACTCAGGAAGACCTGCCGAATCGAATGATATGCGATATGACCTCCTTCTACCAACTTCGTGACCTGGGGGCTCTGGCCTGACCCTGGCCTAAGGTCAACATTTGAAGTTGACGTCACCCAAACAAAAAGTATACCATTCGACGCACCTGAGCAGGGCGAACACGATGGTGCCAAAATCGGGGCTCTGCGGCCATTTTTGCGAAGTTATTGATCAAAAACCGAACCCGATCTTGGGTCACTTGGGACCTGACCTCAGACGTCACCGGTTATGCAGTTATGTTATGCAGAACCATGCGGTACGATAGTCTGGCCATATGGGCTGGGTATTGCTGCTCATAGCCTGGCAAATAACGGAGAAAGTTGGTCATATGTCGACACAGAACATAGAAACTGGCGCAGAAGGTTGACAAAGGGCTAACAAAAAGCCTTGCGGAAGGCACAGGTGACTTTTCATATATGCTGGCGCTCGAAAGCCACAGGTTGTTGCACAGCATGGGTGATGGAAGGTGAACTATAGGTACCGGTATACAGCCAAAGAGGGCTGACCATCAACTACATGTTAGAACGCTGCGCGGGCGTCCTGCTGATGATGCGGATGTGACCGGCGCTGGCTCGTACCTGGTTGGACGGCAGGTGGTGACGAGGTGCCGGGTCCGGCCGCCGGCCCGGACTGGGGTCGCCCGGCCGGCCGCCGGCTCTCCTGGATCGATGGCCGGCGCCGCGCCGCCGCGCTGCACTATTCAATATGACCGGTGCGTCGGCGGCCGGCCGGGCCGTGCGGCGCCAGTGGTGGCCGGCGGGGCGGAGGACCGAGCGGTGTGGACCCGGCCGGGTCAGACCCACACCGGAGACGCGCCACGGGCCGATCTGGAGGGCGCTAGTGCTCGGCGCCGGCGGGGCACGTCCAGGGGACCGCGCGGGACGGACGCCCCAGCTGCCGGAGGTATGTGTGCTCGATCCTCGGGACCTTACCCGTGGTGGGTGTCATTGACGTGTCATTGACGTCATGTGCACGGGTCTGCGGAAGAGTTATTGCGCGTCTGTTGTAACCGAACATAGCCAGTGGTTAGCAGTTTAACATCGCCTTCAGAAACATTTGAGGCGTAGGTTTGCTGTGCATTTTGCCAACTTTGTCTCTTCGATCAAGCATCCTGCTTCATGGGCAGAATCACTAACAGGCGAATTCTTGTCAGCCCATGTTGGAGTATCCATATGCGTCCACCAGTGTAACCGCCACTGAATGGAAGGCTGTTAACCTACACAAGTGCGTATTGTGTCGCACTAAATGGCGATTACTGGTCCTCCATCACAGAGGTCATTGGTGGCCCAGACACCGAGTGGCCAATGTGTCAACCGATAAGAGCTCCTACAGACAGCTACCCAGTACCCTGAGGGGCGGGCAGGGCGCGGTCGGCTGAGGGGCCGCCGCGCTGGCCGGCGGAGAGCCCTCAGCCTGGCCATCCTATGTATGGCGTGGTGGCCCTTGACCTATGGTAAATACATATGCAAATACAAAGTGAGGGCGATCCTTTGCTCGACAGGGATACCCACTCGGCTGAGTGAGGCACTATGGGAAAGACTGTCACCATCGTTGTCTATCGAAGCTAGGTTCATAAATAGCTACAGCTCTGTAGGATTAGTTGTGCATAAGGTGTGGGAACATCAAATGTCTCGAAAATTAACGGTCAAATTTAGCTGAGCGCCGCTGTAGGATTCATGGTTGTGCTGCGCCTGGTGCGTCGGTGACGGCCGCGTGCGTCATTGGCTCAGAGCCGGTCACGTGACCAGCTGACCTCGGGCCAGCGGTCGGTATGAGGCGGCGATTGGTCAGCATATACGAACTTTGTTTGATGTTCACGCACTCGAATGGACGAGGTGTGGCTCCTCGGAGGCTACTGTTGCATAACTGACCAGTGAGCCGTAGTTAACATTGGCTTCTGCCGTCCTTCCCTCAATGTCGACGGCGCCGCGTCCGCCATATTTTCGGCGTGCCGGTGTCGCAGCTGCTGCGTTCTGTCCCAGCACGGATGGGTCGGCACTCGGCACGCCACCGGCCGTCAGGACCGATGGGGCCGTCGGCCGGCGTCCCGGTGTCGGTCGGGTGTCACACGCCAGTCGCCGGCGCCGGCATCGACCCGGCCACTGCGGGGCACACAGCCAGTGTCTGTATCGCCGGGGCCACTGCGGGGCACACAGCCGGCGCCTGTATCGCCGGGGCCACTGCGGCGCTCGCAGTCAGCGCCTGTATCGCCGGGGCCACTGCGGGGCTCACAGCCGGCGATTGTATCGCCGGGGCCACTGCGGGGCACACAGCCAGTGTCTGTATCGCCGGGGCCACTGCGGGGCACACAGCCGGCGCCTGTATCGCCGGGGCCACTGCTTCGCTCGCAGTCAGCGCCTGTATCGCCGGGGCCACTGCTTCGCTCGCAGTCAGCGCCTGTATCGCCGGGGCCACTGCGGGGCTCACAGCCGGCGATTGTATCGCCGGGGCCACTGCGGGGCTCACAGCCGGCGATTGTGTTGGCTGGGTCACACTCTGAGCTCATATCCAGCGGTCAGTGTAGGGGCTTCTGACAGGAAGCGTATGATCCTTCACAATTCTGGTCTGCCGCGATCAGCACCACTCCGCGAAATGGCTTTTGAGATGGCTATTTCGGCGTGAGGTTCCGATTTATCGGGCATTTAGCTCGAAGAGACATTTCTTAGCAACCAGTCATACGGGTCTCTGTCAACTCTTGGTTCCAAATGCATCAAAACGTGCTGCGTATGCAAATAGCTGACGCCATAAGTATGAATATCAGTATATAGCAAATGTTACGTTGTCTTCGTGCGGTAATTTGATTCAGTTTTCTGTTCTAATTACTATTCAAATACCAATTGCCATAAAGGAAACTCAATCCTCATCGTCGCCTCATTGTCGCGCGTTTTGAAACGATTCAATCGACGGCAATTTCCTGGTGAACTGATTAATGGGTTTTGGTTTAATCAAAGCTAATGGAAAGTTAATGTGGTATACCAGGTTAATGTCAGGTTGGTTGGTCGCAGGAGCCACTGCGCGTCTCACGAATATGGTATTGCAGTGTTTTCAGACTCATACGGTCGAAATTAGTAAGTAAACGAGTCCATAACTAGCAGCGTCAGTCTGACAAGTTCGGTGTCATGGCGTTTCGTGTTTCATAAATTCCCGTGTAATGGCTTGGTCACTTGGTCACTGTCGACGAGATTGGATTTGTCACTGACAAAAGTTTCGTGTTTCGGTTGGTCGGTCAAGCCTTGGCACGGCCCATGGTGAACCAATGGCGACTGACACTTGACGGATGACTATAGACGTCTGGCAGACATGACCGAGGCGGACGTCTGACGGCCGGCGTTGTTTCAGATGAGCTGAAGGGCGGCCGGCGCGCTGGGACGTCTGGGCCGCCGCGATGGGCGAGCAGGCCGCCCGGCCGGTCTCGGCCTGCGAGGAGCCGCTGGACGCCGACCAGCTGGCCGAGGGCGACGGCAAACGCTCCTTCCTCGACGTACTGCGAGAGAAGCGCGACCAGAACGCCGACAAGGTTATGTTCTACGCCACGGTGCTGTTCAGTCTGGTGGCGATCGGCGCGTTCTTCGGCTTCCTGTTCCTGGTGCCGTTCGTGATCGAGCCGGCCGTGACGACCATCCAGATGGACTTTGAGGTGGAGCCCGTCACCTGCTGTGTGGTCTCGTTCACAGAACTAGCTGGAAAAGACAACTGCTCCGACTGGAGCTCGTGCCGCGAGGGCTGCACGCGAGAGATTTACAAGTGTGTGAAGATCCTGGTGGCGTACACGGATGCGAAGGACTTTTCGTGCGCGGCGCGGCCGCCCAACCACCAGTGGCTGCACAATGAGGCCTACCTCTACCCGAACGTGAAGGGGTGCGGCTACCCGCCGTCGCTCAACTGCACCGTGTTCCGTGACCGCTTCCGCGAGCCGAACGTGACGTTTTCGTGTCACTACAGCCGGCTGGACGCCACGCTGGTGATCACGGAGCTAGACCCGCACCAAGTGCGCTCCGACCTGGTGGTGGCGTTCGTCGTGCCGTTCGTGTCGCTGGCCGTCTCCATCGCCTTCCTCGTGTACGCCTACCACCGCATGAAGCGGAAAGAGGCCGAGGCGGCGGCGGCCGACGCGCTGGCGCAGCGCACCCAGGCGCTGCTCGATGCCGAGGAGGGAGAGGAGGGAGAGGACGAGGAGGGGTGCGGCGGCAGCGCGCACGAGCCGCCCGGCCGCAGCCACCCCGGCAGCAACTACTCGCTCAAATCCATCACCAGCAAAATCAACTCGACCGTGGTGCGGCTGAAGCAGGGCCGCGACTGCCGCTCGGGCAGCGGGTGAGTGCCGCCGGGCGCCGTCAATGGGCTGCACAGTTGGCCCTGTGCAAACAACAGGGAGCGTGCAGCATGCCATGACACGCCCGCTTTGTTCCACTATTCTGCTCACTCCATTCTTCTTTACTCATTTTTGATGCCAGCAAACAGCCGAGCGACACATCCCATGATGGTGATATGTCCTACTTGGCCGTTGCGAATTGTCGCTTCTTTTTTATTCTTGTAAGCTGATGTTATATAAGAGTAGAAAACTCCTCCTGTCAGTATTGATCAGCTTAATTGTTATGACCTTACGCTTATTCTTTTCTTGCGCTCTCGCGTCATTTTCGTCTTTGTACCCTGCTGGCTATGCCACTATGTAGACGTGGTTCGCCCGTTCTGCCGATTCCTGTGCACTGTTTTCTGTGTTTGCTAACGTTACTTCTGTCTGCTAACCAGTAACCCTTACCCCACTGATAAGCGTGCCTCTGCGACACCTGCTTAGTGAGTTTTAGCGGGCCGCCGTTTGTGCTGGCAGCTAGATTTAGCGGGCGTAGTCCGCTAAACCTACTGGCGATAAATACTCGCGGCTAGCCGGAATCGGCCGGCTGCATGATAGGCTCGAAAATGATATATTTTTCAGAAGTTCCACGCTCCTGCGTCTCGCCGCGTGGCGTTTTCCGGAAATATTGATAAAAGAGTTAGGGCTCTCCCCCAAGAGGTAGCCACGTCACCTGTTGGAGGCTGGAAGGCTGAGGCAAGCTTTGACCGAGCCGCTCCGGCTGAACCGAACCGCTTAGCAAGACTGGAAACTATGAGTGGTTGCCTGACCTTGTTTCCATCCCGAACGTAAGTTCTCATCGACCCCAACCTGGGCCGATCCACTGTGAGACTGGACCCAGGCAGTCCGTGTCCGACATGGTTTGACCCCGGCCGATCCGGCTTGGCATGATCCGACACTGCTGGGTCTCCTGTGACCTGAGCGCTGACCCAGCCCCACAGTGTCCTCTGTGACTTTATCCATCCTCACCGGCGCCCGCCTGACCTGCCGCCGCCCCGGTCGAACCCAAGGTGACCCGTGGCCCGAGCTGGGGTCGTGCGTTGCAGAGTGACCAGTCAGTCGTGTCTCCTCCATCTCCGCGGCCTCAGCGACACGGGGACAGCGGAGCGGGCGCCGGTGGAAGCAATGCTACCCCTGCCCGCTCCTACAGAGGCGCCGGGCTGTCCAGTTAGCCCTGCCTTCGTCCCTGACGGGTCCGTTGGCCGCTACACTGTCCACCCATCCACCCTGACTCGGTCCTCTGTATTACACAGGTGGACCGACCCTGCCTCGGCGGCTAGTTGGGCCGATAGTATAGACCAGACAGAGTGGTTACTCAAGGCGAGTTCCGTATCGGTTGGGGCGCTATACGTGCCTCAAGTAGCGTAGTTTTGTCCAGTGGTAGAGCAGAGATGTAGTTAAACTAGAAGATTAGCTGATAGACTGGTGCCGGATATGTTAGTTAAGTGATTGTCGGTCAGTGGCCAGTGCTCTGGTGGGGGCTATACTGCCTGGTGCTGTAGTTGGGTGACCAGCGCGTCAGAGGCGTCACTGGCGTCTGTCATTGCGAGTCGCTGGTCGTGGCCTGCCTTGGACCGGGCGGCCTGCCACGGGCTCGCTAACAGCGGACTAGCTCGCCTGTTTCCCAGTAGCCAGTATCGAGCCGATCATTCGGGTTGCTGTGCTGCTGATTGGCGTGTTGGTACTGGCAGGACTAGCCGTATTAGAAAGTAGCCACGTATCGCTCGGTAGCAGGGCGTGCTCGAGTGCTCGGTAGCCGCGTATCGCTCGGTAGCGGGGCGTGCTCGATGGTAGCATATCGTTCGGTAGCATATCGTCCGGTAGCAGCGTATCGCTGGGTATTCGCGCGTCGCTAGTTTCGTCGACAGTATCGGTAGTGTGAGGCACTGACGGATCCAGACGGGCACGGGACCATCTACCAAAGGTCAATGTTTCTGTTACCTAACATCTGAAGCAGTGCATGGAAATGCTGAGCACTCTTGTCACTCAGTCCCCAGCCCCCAGAAAAAGCGTGCGTCTGGGTCCGTGTGCGGTGCGAAGTGCCTGCGCAGTTAGCTGCTCGTGTAATTAGTACAGTGTATGACCATAATTGCGCTGGGTAATGTCATGCCACGGGGAAGTAGCGTTTTCATCGTGTATGTTTGCAGAGTATTTGCACGATATGTCAACACACTGGGTTTACATAGCTCCGAGCGCTGGACGGCCGCTCGGGCGGGAGTATAGTGCGTGTTTGCGTGTTCCCCCCCACTCTCTCTCTCTCTCTCTCTCTCTCTCTCTCTCTCTCTCTCTCTCTCTCTCTCTCTCTCTCCCTCTCTCTCTCTCTCCCCGTCTCTGCGTTCCGCTGTGACCTATGTGGGCGCGCGGCAGGAGCGGCGATGAGATTGAGATGGAGGAGGTGGGCGGCGAGGCGCGGCCGCCCAGCCGGTACCTGCAGCCGGGCCGGCTGCCCAGCGGCGGCGCCCGCCGCCACCTGCTGCCGCCCATCGCGCTCGAGCCGCCGGCCGGCGCGGCGCCCGAGCCGGCCCCGGTCGCCAGCTCCACGGCTACCACCAGGTGAGAGGTGCTCACCGGTCCCAGACTGCCTGGTAAGAAACGCTCACTGCACCTTGACCTTGACCGGCCCGCGACAGTCAGGTGAGAGCGCTCTCCGGCCGCGGCTCCCACGTCAACTTTGTGAGAAACGCTTACCGGTCCTGACCGCTCGGCGAGGTGAGATACCGTTCAACGGCATTGTTAGGCTGATTAGTGGGTAATCGATCCAAGTTCAATCAATGTGTTTATTCTTGTCTTGGTAGCTGGCTTCGATCTCGAAGACAAGAGGGCGGTAACTATGGCGGTAACTAGCCCCTTATTTCAGTGCTGTAAGTGTCCTGATGGATAACGGATCACGTATTTCCTTTATCAATGCCCCGGCAAAGGGCGGCTTTTTCTGGCCTGCGTTGTGGCGGTGGCGGGCCGCCCACCTCCGCGGCCGCCCCGTGTGCCCTGTGCCGTGTGCCGTGTGCCGCAGCGGCCGCCCCGCCTTGCCGCACCTCGGCTCATCGATCGACCCGTCCGTCTGGCGACGGCCGGCGGCGTCAGACCGGCGTGCCACCGGCATGACCCACCCCGCTGCTGCCGGCGGCGTCAGACCGGCGTGCCACCGGCATGACCCACCCCGCTGCTGCCGGCGGCGTCAGACCGGCGTGCCACCGGCATGACCCACCCCGCTGCTGCCGGCGGCGTCAGACCGGCGTGCCACCGGCATGACCCACCCCGCTGCTGCCGGCGGCGTCAGACCGGCGTGCCACCGGCATGACCCACCCCGCTGCTGCCGGCGGCGCCCACCTGAAGTGTGTCAGTGGCGAGCGGCCGCCGGCGCATTCTCACAGGGTTTACACAGGAGCCAACTGTGCAACCGCGTCCTACAGGCGGTAGAACGACTGTCGTCACATTCTCACAGGGTTTACACAGGAGCCAACTGAGCAACCGCGTCATACTGCCGATAGAATGACCGATCTGCGCATTCTCAAAACGATTTACGCGGGAGCGAACTGAACAATTGAGCTCTACTGCCGACAGAGCAACCGAGCGACACATTCTCAGAGGGTTTACACAGTTGAATCAACTGAACAGTTGCGTTCAACCGCGATTAATTTCAAGGATTACAGTAGAATAGAGTCGTTCCTGGAGGGAGGGATTTGCATGCACCTGTACCGATATGTATGGTATGTTTGTCTCGAGTATCTATACTGCCTGATAAATCTATGATGTCTGAAATTAGCTGTGCCTGTGGACTATCTGACACGTCGCGTTCTGACATTGGGCAAGTGTTTGAGTGGCAAGTGGGCAAGACCCTTGTGTCTGTGTTATGTAACACGCAGTGCGTCCACCTCTGACGCTGGACTCGTGTCTGCCAACAGCGCCAACAGCACCATCTCGCCGGTGGAGACGTAGCGGTACCGCTGCCGACAGGTGCGTCACCTATGGAGTGGTCGGCGGCGGTCCGTACGTATCCGCGACGTAGTTTGTGATTTTCCTTGTAAGTGTGTTATACTCTGTCCAGGTTTAGTTTGACGGCTCACGGTGATTCCAAAATAACAATGTCACCTCGGTTTATCCCAATCTGCTATGAAATGTGATAGCGCTGGCACGGATCACCTTATGTGATCCGTGGCGCTGGCAAACGCCGGTGGTTTACGGGAAGGTAGGCCGACCGCAGCACTCCCGTGTGCGCCGGCACAGTCTATGTTTCCAGGCTGACGCGATCTCGCTGGGTGAGCCAGGTGTCTGGCTGTGTTTGTCTGTGTGTAAGCTGTCTGACACTGACCGGCCGTGCCTGGTCACCCCTCCCTTACCCTTCTGAAGCCGAGGGGTCGTTACTCCTCACATCCTCTCACGCTGGAGATCTGGGGGGCCATCATCTCTCCCATCCCTACCCCCTGGGATCCGAGGGCCTCATCTCCTTCGTCCCTACCCACTGGGGAACTGGCGCCCATCAGTCCAGCACCATCGCCGGATTTTGCGCTGGGCCGCGGAGGCAGCCGTTGTTTGTCATTATAATATCTCCTAAAGAAACCTTACTGTGTAGCTGAGCAGCCTACTTGAGCAGAGCTGGGCACTTACGCATGTTATGAAGCGGCGATGGCGACGATATTTGGTCGCACGATGCGTAACGTTAGATTGCACCGGTGATGTCTCATCTGTTTTCAGTCCCCAGCAATGTTCCCTACTTTATTCGGCCGTGTCACCCTGACGGCCCCCTCCCCCATGTTCCAGCGTCTGGAGCGTGATCTGGACGACACCCACCTGAGCTCGCCGTGGGCCGACAGTGGCGTCCTCAAACGCCAGTTCCACGGACTCAACAACGTCTCCTGGGGCCCGCGCTAGGCGCCCGACCGCCTGCCCGCCGGGCCCCCGGATCGTTTACGTTCTATGTGATATCTTCTGCCTTTGCTGACGGGCCGCGCGCCGGTCTGCTGGCTGTGCGCCCCTCTGCGCCGCAGACCGCTCCGGCGGCGGCCCCGCGCAGCCGGGCAGCCGCTGGCCCGCCTCTGACTCCTGTGATACGGAGCGGGCCCGGGCGCGACCAGCTGCTCTCGCGCTTCTGCGCTTCTATTCCAGTTGCTAGAATCCTTCGAATTTCCCCTCTGTTCGTTCCTTTTATTTGTCGTAACGGTATCACTCTCAAATGTTTTTGTTTTGCATCTTACTTCCAGTCTCTTTCTTCTCAGTCTTCTCGTTCAATTCTTGTATGATCCGCTCTTTCCCTGTCTTCTTTCCCATTCCCCTTCTCTTTTTACCTTTTCCTGCCCTTTTCCCCTCTCCCTTGCCTCTGCCTCGCCTCCCACCTGCCTCAGCGCCTTCAGCTGATCTCCACAAATCGTGCGCGGCCGCCCGGTCGGCCGCCCGCGTCAGACACATCTAGTCAGCGGAGCGGACGGCGCCGCGTCGTTCAGTCTTTTCTCACAACTGCGCACCGCGTATTCCAGTCACTTCTCGAGCGTCCCTAGACGGCGCTCCTCGCTCCGGGAGCGGCCAGTTCAGGCCGGCGGGCCGCCGCGCCGCGCCAGAGCCGCTTCTCAAATCGGCACTCACGCCCTGCGCGTCAACATGCATTTTCCATGAGCTAATGTATGGCGCGTGTTTTGCCTCCATTCTCCATTATCAAATAAGGTTTTAATAAAGTGTTCGCTTTATGAGTTGATTGTCTTTGAATTGGTTCGTTTCCATTCCCTGCCGCCTGCAGAGTCACGCCGCTTTGGAAACTTTGCACTTAGCTCTGGATGTCATCACCAAACAGTTAGTATTCGATATTTGGTCTTTATTGGAGATACAAGTGTACACAGCACCAGTGGCCTCCTCGACGTGCTATGGAGGTTAAACATGACATTATCAGACGAGCCCCCCGAGTCATTTTGCAACAGCACATGATTGTAATATTGGGGCGGTGGTTTGTGGTGGTAAAATGAAAACGGTCGATTTTACATGGCCAGATAAAAACACTGCTACTGCTCACATTCACCAAGTATAATAATTACATAGTAAATAGCACGATCCGATTAAAGTAAATACCTTAAAAATTAAATGAGATTAAAATATGAAATTGGCCCACGGCCTAGGAATCCTCTTTGACGTCAAGCCCAATTAAAGTAACGAAAGGCTACAAATAACACGATTTTTATGCTTTCCTAGTTTTTAACTAGTTTTAGACGCTTCAATTCAACCCTCACATAATATCGTTTCCAATAAAATATCAGCCGTTCTAAAATTGATGCGTGGTCGCCGTCTAGTGACCCTGATGGCTCTGGTACCTAAAATAGCTGCGTGCTCCCGAATTGACATGTCTCTCAATCCCGGTCCAGGAGCCAGTTATGGGGTAGAGGTTTCACCTCCCCCTGAACACGACAGCTGACAGCCACAGTAGACATTGGGACAACAGCCGGACAGACAGACATACTGACACGTGGGTTCGGACGGCGCAGATCCCCGTCCCACGGCGCGGGCGACCCCGCCCGTCTACCTACCAACGCACCTAACTGACCACCAGGCACAGCCAACGCCGGCTCTATGTAGGACTCAACCCCAATCCACGGCAATGAACACTGGCAAATGCTAATCCTTGAGACTGTAACCACGCTACCGGCACGTCGTATTCCATAGCTAAAACAACTTAAATGCGGACCTGAAACGTCTTGACTTGGATATAGATATTTCATCTGAACACAGCAACTAAAACGGTGCTACTGTCGGCTGGCGAGACCGCATGATTGCATCACCAGACACGGTCTGGCCTTCAGAACTGGCCGGCGCTAACGCGTTTCCCTGTCTGCGAGTAATGAGCTGGCCGGCCGCGGCGCGCCTGTCTGTCTCAGTGCCTCGGTGTCTCGCAGCGCGGCGCCGCACACACAGCACACGACACGGACAGTGGGACAGTCTGAGACGCGGCCCGCGGCCGGCACATACGACAACACACCGAGTCCGGCCCCGGTCCGCCGGCAGACGCTATCACGTCACTCCGTAGTCCTGGCGGGTGAACCCGGCCATCAGCGACTGGGGCAGCGAGCTAAAGTACTCGTCACCGTCCAGCTCCACCTGTGGACAGAACATAGACCAGCCATCAGGGACGGAACATAGACCAGTTAACAGAGACAGAACACAGACCAGCCATCAGCGAATGGGGTAGCGAGCTAAAGTACTCGTCACCGTTTAGCTCCACCTGCAGAGTGTACATACATAAAGTGATTAAAGGTAAAGGGTTAACAGGACAGAACAGAGAAAATGACGTAAAACAAACCGAAGTATCTTCGGGGGGATGAGACACGGCACAGTACCGGCGCGTGACAAACTGCATGTTTGGTTGCTTTGGCAATGGTGATATGAGGGAATACTTCAAATAACGGGTGTCGTGAACCCGTACCTTTACGAAGTAAATCTAAGGCGCCGTGAAGTTACACTACATACATTTACGAACGGGTGGTCGTCTAGGTGAGACCGTACCTTTACAAATGGATGGTCATCCAGCTGCTGGGCCGAGGCGCGCAGCTTGGGGTCGTGCACGAAGCACAGCTCCAGGAAGTGTCCGCCCTCGGCGGAGAGTTTCTCGGGGACCGCCGGGCTGCCGCCCATGCCCACCCGGAACATGATCTGGTACGTGTCCTCCAGGTCGGGGAACGGACGCTGTGGAGCGGCCAGGGCGTCAGACAGACGGGGGACAGTTGGAGCGTCAAACGGGGACGGGTCAACGTTAGACACAAGAGGGATGGGTGGAACGGGTCGAGAGGGAGGGGACGCGTTTCTCGTTACAAACAAGACACAAGGTCGCGGCGTGGTCGACCATGTAGGACAGGTGCGAGGAATAAATAAACCGTGTCTCACTGTTGGCGATCTCGGGGAGGGAGTGGTACCACGGCATCCCAAGAAAGGAGCCGTGGGTATCTAGACATCTCGGGATGGAGAGCTATAACAATGAGCGACGGAGCCGTACCTTTCCGGTGGCCATCTCCACCACACAGCAGGCGAGAGACCAGATGTCGGCGGCGCGGCCCTGACCCTCGCCGCTCGAGCTGGTGTACACCTCCGGGGCCATGAACGCTGCCGACAGACGTCCGGTCATTGTCAGTGGAGTAGCGGCGGGGAGGCAGCCTAGGGGACCTATCACCCAGTCACAGACCAGTCGGGTGGCGGCGGACACATTTAGAAGCAACAGATAAAACGAAAAGAGCGAACTCATGAATAAATAATCAGATGCTTTCTTACAATATTGTTATTGAGCGAAAGTTTGGTGGCGGGTCACATCTCATTGTTACGCTGACTCTTTAGTGCCCTGGTTACGCCAAGTTAAGGCCATTTCAGATACAACCTTCGTCAGAGGCGAGTGCGACGTTCCACCCTGCACAGTGGGAGAGCTTTACTGGGGTTGATAAGATGGCCCGGCTCCCCACCATTCCCCTCACACTGTGTGGTGAGAGTCCTTACCTGGTGTGCCGACCAGTCCTTTGACCTCGCCCTGCATGGTGGTGTGGGCCACTATCTTCACCGAGCAGCCAAAGTCGCCCAGCTTCAGACAGCGACACTCGTCCGTCAGAAATATGTTGGCGCCTGAGGAAGATAGAGTGGGAGGTGGATTAGGGTGGCTCGAAGTGAACAGTACACGGTAACAGAGCACCTGTGAACCGTAAAGGAATTCACTTACCGCACGCCTAAATTAACCAGTAAAACGCCTTTTGGGCGACCAACGGAGCGAGCGTGAGGATGGGCCTTGCACGTGCGAAATTGCGAGGGGGTACCTCCAACTAACTTGTGCACTGCACCCTACTAACCGGTCTTTAGCGATGTGCCAAATTTCAGCGCAATCGGCCTAGCCGTTCTCGAGATCTGGAAGCGGCACACTGCACGTGCGCACGTGCAAGCGGGGTTCAAACTGACTTTTGCACGGCACCCTACTAACTGGTCCCCAACCGTGTACCAAATTTGAGCGCAATCGGCCCAGCCGTTCTCGAGATCTGGGAGCGCCCCCTGCACGTGCGCACGTGCTGTAGCACCCCAACCTTAACACATGCAGATGAATTATCTGATGGAGACCTAACTGTGTACCGAGTTTCAATTCAATCGGCCCAACCGTTGTGCCGTTATTGAGGTTGCAATTTTGGGGGTTCTTAAAAAATGTCCAACTTTACCACGCGCCACGTGCGGTGTTTGGCATGAACGCATGGTGGCCATCACACCACAGAACTTTTACGTCCAAGTGACATTCAGTAAAGAAGACCGCTTGTCAATCGGATGTCCCGTTCCTAAGATATTAGCTTTTGAAGAGCGTCCCCACGGCCGGCCGGCCGGCCGCTCATACTCAGGATTTTCCCTTAATTCAGTATGAGACTCCGCTCGCTTCGCTCGCTCCGTAATCAACGGTTACAGTTTTTCCAGTCCGAAATGATCGTTGTCTAACATGCTTCACATCGAAATGCGTCAAAATAAATGAGTCGTAAATTGTTGGCAGAGTTATCATATGTCAGGCCAGATCATCTATCTACGTTTCGATAAGTAACGAATCGTAGTTGAAATATGATAGAGCTATTTCCGAGTCTGTCGAAAACATCACTGAAACAGCCGCTCTAAACACTTGACGAAATACAAACACGCTCCGTGGTCAATTAGTGGTCATATCCGACGTATCACCAGCCGAAAGCACATTAATTACCAAATCAAAGCTGGTCGGCGCGAGCCGGCTCGGCCGACATAAACAGCCCACAGCGTGGTACGATGATAGATG